AAAAAAAAAAAAAAAAAAAAAAATTCACTGTCATCTTTCACTGACCACATGCATGTATTTCTTTATTTTCCCTTCCTTCTATTCATTTTCCAGAATAAAGGTCCAGATTGCTTGTTGAAACAAGATAAACTGATATCTTAATATGGTTATGTGGGCTTTTGGTGATTGAATTTTGACTTTGCATCTCTAGCAACATTGTACCTTAGTAATATTTTCTGTTTCCCAGTAGCACCTTAAAATTTACTTGTATCTTTACTTGTATCTACAAGGTGTGGTTCAACTTCTAAATTTTTTAAATCTATATTCTAATTAATGTGATTTTATGGGTTTTCTCTAATGTCATTTAGGAATTTCATTGTAATGTCACATAAATATGTTTCAGTTAACCTGTGCCTGCATTTTAAAATTTCTTCCAGAGCATCTTTAAATTGGGAAAAGATTCAGTTTTAGGGGTCTGTGACTAAAAATATCCTTTTGAGCAGCATGAAGAAACTTTTTGGGTGATAGATATATTCATTGTTTAGATGTGGGGATAGTTTCACAGATGTATGTATATATGTATGTAAAACCTTATGATGTATACTTCAAATAGGTGTAGTTTATTGCATGTCAATCAAAGCTCAATAAAGCTGTTAAAAATATTGTCTTCTGATGGTTGATTAGAATAGCATGTTGTTATAACACTGGAGGAAGAGAATGTTTATACTAATCTTTATATTTTGTACAGGTCTCCAGACTTGTGAATGAGGTCTACCACATGTATAATCGACATCAATATCCATTTGTTGTTCTTAACATTTCTGTTGATTCAGGTAAGTTTCACAGAGATTTCAATAAAATTGATGACTTACTCCTAAAAGAATAACATGTAATTATAAAGGTTTGATATGACTGGAAAGAGAATAATTTATGGCAAAGTAGGTTTTTTTTTTTTTTTTAACAGAATCATATTTTGTTGCCCTCAGTAGAATTCTGTGGCATCGTAGCTCACAGCAACCTCAAACTCTTAGGCTCAGGAGATTCTCTTGCCTCAGCCTCCTGAGTAACTGGGACTATAGTCACCCACAATGCCTGGCTAATTTTTTTATATAGACTTTCCTGCTTTCTATTGACACTCTTGTATTAATTCTATTAGGAAATTAGACTTTTTGATGTTGACCAAGGGAGAATGTAGACTAAAATGTTCTCCCCAATTTTAAAAATATTTTATTTTATATACATAGTTTTTCTGATTGCTAAAATTTTGGTTGATAGGCCAGATATGGTGGCCCGTGCCTATAATCCTAGCTCTCTGAGAGGCTGAGGCAGGTGGATTACCTGAGCTCATGAGTTTGAGATTAGCCTGAGCAAGAGTGAGACCCTCATCTCTACTAAAAATACAAAAACAAGCCAGGCATAGTGGTGCACACCTGTAGTTCCAGCAACTGAGGGAGCTGAGGTGAAAGGATTGTTCAAGCCTGGGAGTTTGAGGTTGCTATAAGCTATGATGAGGCCATGGCACTCTACCCCAGGGCAACAGAGTGAGACTGTTCCTCCCCCCCAAAAAGAATTCTGGTTTATAGTCATTCAGTATTTTTTCTGGATACTTAGGAATATGTATGTGCATACCTTAAAAATATATATATACACGTACCCGTATCTTTTTGGATGAGAAAATAATTTTGTATCTTACTCTATGACCATTTTTCTTGTTATTAAAAATTAATCAGAAACATGATCTTAATAGTTGTATTATATTTTCATACATGGTTACGTTGACTTTTAAATTATTTTTTTTTAATTTTCAGTTTTTGGAAATTATAAATACCATCCTTAGAATTAAATCATTATCTACATCATTAATTATTTCCAACAGTTGCATTCCAATGCAAGTGGTCAGGGACTGATCCCACCAAAGGGTTTTTTGTACATCTGTTTAAGCAGGACAATAGAACATGCAAAAGCAAACCATTTTGGGGTCAGTCCCTGACCCTCCCCTTCCCCTTTCACAGAATGCAACTGTGAATTAAGATAAATTCCTAGAAGTAGAATTACAGGGTCAGTGAACATGATCATCTTAAGGCTTTTCCATATTGCATTCTAGACATGTTATATCAATTTATACATCTACCAACAATGTACTAGGTATTATAATTTTTAAACTAAATTCAGTACAGAATTAAAATAGTTTGTATGTTTTTCTTACACATTTTCATGTGTTTATTTGCTCTTTCTCTTTGATAATCTACCCATTCAAATCCTTGCATATTTTGTCTGTTTAAAAAATTGTTCATTTTTTTATTATTTACTTGAAAAAACTAATTTTATAATTTATGAATATTGAATTTATTATAAATTCATATTGAAAATATGAATTTATGAATATTAATCTGGACTAGTGTTTTCAGCTAAAACACTTTCAGCTACCACTTTTTGGTAGCTAAAAGTGAATGAAATAATAGATCCGGAAATTTCTGTTATTAAAACTGAATTTAAAGATAATAAGTATGGTCAGGGATGGTGGCTCATGCCTGTATTCCTAGCACTGTAGGACCCTGAGAAGGGTAGATTGCTTCAGCTCAGGAGTTTAAGACCAGCCTGAGCAAAATTGAGACTCCCATCTCTACGAAAAATAGAAAAGCTATCGGGAGGCGCCTGTGGCTCAGTGAGTAAGGCGCCAGCCCCATATACCGAGGGTGGCGGGTTCAAACCCAGCCCCGGCCAAACTGCAACAAAAAATAGCCGGGCGTTGTGGCGGGCGCCTGTAGTCCCAGCTACTTGGGAGGCTGAGGCAGAAGAATCGCCTAAGCCCAG